CAATTAAGTATATGAAAACTGGCACTTCATTTTCTGAACCTAACCCAAGCCATCTATTTTCTCAAGCACATAGAAAAGGGTTTCCTTAAGAGGTAAAACTTAATTTATTTGGTATGTGTCTGTATCATCTGCTCAGTATAGCTGGTGATGGCTAGCATTTGTAAGAGCTATTTTTATACCACCATGTAATAGAAATTAATACAGATGAAATTTTAACTAAATGTTAAAGAAACCAAAAATAAGAATGCAACTCCTTTTATTCTGAGCAAGCCTCCTACCGAAAGTTTGCTGAACTGCATACATCCCAGCATTGTATGCTTACAAAACCTTATTAGCTAGCACATTCAGAAGTACTTTTCTTTTGAATGAAGTAATTTTCTCTTTTTTTAAAGTCTTTGTGTATCTGGAGAAATTTAGAAACCCAAAATAAATGTCACCAAGACGGGCAATATCTGCATCAGAACAGTAACAACTTAAACACAAGTCCTGAATCCAGTCAAATATTTTCGTTTAGGTGCTTTGCCAAGTATAGTCCTGAAGCGTTTCCCTCCTGTAAAATGTTGCCTGAAATAGGCATGTTCTTTTTCTCTTGAATTCTAACATGCTTATTCTATTTTTAATAATATATTTTAATATATTTTAATTAATATGTTTTAGTAATATTGCTTACCTTGAGATGTCCCCCCAGTACCACTCCGCTTCCTGCAGAGAGAAACTGGAATTGTCCTTTATTCCATTCGTATTGACTGGAGTCATTGGTTTGGGGGGCTTTGGAGGAAGAGCTGAAAATGAAGAACAGATTAAAGGAAGGTAAACGGGAAAATAATCACTAAACTGTTAATGAAATATGACAGTGAAAAAGCGAGAGAAAATGTGCATCTTGAACTTGGATTTCAAGCTCTCTCGAAGTAAATGGAATTTGTAATTTTTAAAGAATTTTGAAGTCAACAGCTGCACTGTGATCCCAGATTTCCTAGTACTCAAACCAAACACATGCTTGAGGGAGGGGAAAGGGATGGAGTAAAAGGAAACATGAGTTTTTGTTAAAAGCAGGACTGGCTCAGGCATGACTACAAGGGCAATCACCGCCTAAACCTCCAAACAAGTTACAAAGGTGTACTGTGTTTGAAAGCCACAGCATGGAGAGCACCATGCACCTCTATGGAAAAACTCCAGTTGCTTGGGCATCACCAGTCCTTATGGCAATCCATAAGAGCAAACAGGTCGACTCTTCTTCAGAGGGAAAAACGCTGCTAGTGAGAAAAGTGGTGGCTGGGCAGTGGTATATCCACCAGAGACCCAAGGTTCACGTTTCATACCAGATTTGTTGTTTAGGCTCCTGTTAGGAACAAAAGCTATGACTCTTTGAATACTACAGGACATGAGGTGATAAAGGAAGGTGATAAAGGAAGGGGCAAGGGGACATTAGGTCATTATTAGAGTGCCTGCACCACTTTACATAGCTGATGTGTTTACCACAGGAAAGGGGATGCTACAAATCCCCAAAAGACAGGCAGAACTGCACATCTGTAGGCCTAGTGCATACCCACCCAGAATTCCCCTATTCTGAATTCAAGGCAAACAGGCTTTTACTTCCATTCTCAAAATAGGTTACACAATGTAAGGGCATACAATGCACTGAAGCTTTTTCTATTTGGTCAGTTTTTGCTCAAACAACTTTATCACGGTCTTGAACGTAAGCCCTATATCAGGAGTAATTCAGCAGCCACAGGCATGCTTATGTATTGGTAGGGACTTGTCTGTCAGCAGAAATGCATTACACTATTTTCTTCGAGAAAGATGTCTTGAGTGCTCTCCCCTGCTTTGCAGAGGCTGAACGCTTCATCAAGAACACTACCACTGAAACTGAGCATTTTTCAGGCATTTTATGAGACAGAGCGTTTTGGAGGGGCAGGTAACATTTGAATTCAGAGTAAGAAAGCAGCTACACACATTGATTTGCTACTAGCACATTTTTAAGTCAGACCCTGAACATCTGTGCTCCCAGCCCTATGCCCTAAGCCATCAGATTACACAAGCATCAGCGAGCAGGCCTGACACACACTGACAACAGCCATCTTTCAGACACACACAATGCCAGTGTACAAGCAGAAATACCAATAAAGGGAGCAGAAAGAAGATTTTGATCTCTAGCTCCAGTGTGGAATGGCTTAACACTGAGAGGTGTGCTACTTGGCACCATCCATCTGCTCACCCCTGAGCCACACCTCCCACATTAAAGAAGAGAAAACAGTGTTCCAACTGCAGTTCCAAATACCATTTCATGTTGCATATCCGACACAGTAACTTCACTGTTCTCAGACAAACCAGTAGAAACTTTAATTGAGCCAATCTAAACTAAAGCTGAACCTTGACCCAGACGTTTGCACCCTGGGGTTGCTGACCAAACACCTGATTCAGATAGCAGCATTCATTCTGCAGGACTGAGCATTAAACCATAGCATACAAGTTCTTTTTACGGGGTGAGCTGGGAACTTTCAGGTGTGCACATATCTAGTTAGGCAATAACAGGTCTTGTTATAAAAGGAAGGTGAAAACCTTTGGTTTCAGTGAAGTAGCTTCCTGGTTAGGAGGCTTCAGTTACTCCTAGCTCAACTACTACAGTTGTTTGTGTAGCACGTAAGTATTTGTACAAAGCACCATTGAGAGTAAGACACAGTCCTAATCCTACTTTGCTTCAAGCTCCCAGCCCTAGCCCACTTTTGTGGGGTCAGAGGAGCATATATCCAGGCTAAGCGTGTAGAATCAATCGTATTTACTGTGCCCTATGCTGTTCCACCTCCCCCATTCAAAGTTCCTGAATTAGGAAGCATCTTCAGGTCTTCTCTCCTCCCCACCTCACATGTGGGCTGTGCTACCCTACACACTCTAAGCAAGCGACAGGACAGATGCAACAGTTTGAGTTTCATCAGTGTCTGCACATGGCAGTAAATCTGAGCTCAGAAAACCTGTAGATGTTCTGATCTACTCCAGAATCTTTTGTAGCTTCTGAGTCACCAACAAGCACATGAAGGTTCATGTAAAAAAAACACACAACAGTGTGGAGAATTCTTAGAAAACTGTACCAGCACCAGCAATTATTTCACTGATTCTTTCAAGTTAAGGCTTGGACGTACCAAAAACTTCAAGGTATTCTACACTGTAAAAGCCTGTTTTACACTGGTAATAGGGGCTTTCCAGAAGAGGCTTTCAAGTATTCTCTAGAGTACTTGAATACTTCTCTAGCCCTCCTTGTAAGATTAAGTCTTGCCTCTTTATATACTGTGGAATTATTTGGCAGCTTTGTTAGGGCTCACGCCAAAGCACTGGGCACAGAAAAGCAAACTAACAAAGACCAGAAAGGTAAGGAACAGGAGTTTGGCATATGGACACAGAGCACTAGACATTACACCCAGTGTCCTTACTACAGGTGGAGGTTTTTCCTTCTTTCCCTTAATAGGTAGGTATCAGTTCTCACTATCAGGGGGTTGTCTGCAGAACTTCATTCTGCATGACAAAATTGGAAGGAAATTCTTCCAGGGAGAAGAATAAGGCTTGGACCAGTTCCTGTAAAACCTGACTCATGGAAGCCAGTCCTTTTCACAATAGACTTTTCAAAAGTGCTTTTTAATAGCTTACACATTTTAAAAATACAAAAGTATCTGCAAGGGTGGATCCTGTTTCCAGAGAGCTATGGATCTAATTCTTTACTTTCAATACTTTGAACTCTCTGAGTCATAGTAGATTTCTCCCGTCTTGGATACAGAACCTGCTATTGCTTTACCCAGTAGACTAACATGCCCATCCATTTCAGCGTTTCTTGGCTACCCTCTCAGCCTGATATGACTGTAGTCTGTACAAATGGAGAACTGAGCACGAAGGTAGTTTAAACCCCACAGCCCAGAACCTGTGGTGACACAAGAGGAGCGTTTTGTAATAGCATGGCAAGTCTACTGTAACAGAGCAGCATGCTGTTCTCATAACGCTGGCCCAATGGGTTGCTAGAAGAGGCATCCTAAAATAGTTTTTACTAGTACCTAGACAGTACTAACCACCCTGCTAGGAGAAATCCTGTGGTGTTTCTATGAAAAGCTACAAAGAGCCTTAGAGTCTACAGATTTTGATTTAAATTCAAAAAAATCCAGTTTTATATACCTTACTTGATGAACATTAGAGAGCTAAAATCCTACAGCAAAGTAAAATAAGGCTGGCTTGAAGTCAACAGAAATGCTTTCAAGAGCAACGCTGTTTCTTTCCATGTCACTGGGTCCAATTCTGATCTAGCCACAGGCGTAATCTTACTTTATCTCAAAACAAGCTCTGATTAGAGTGAACGATCCTGATGGTTTCTTTTCTCCTTTTTCCTGGGAAAGAAAGAACATTGATCTCAAGTGATTAACAGCACAATGGATCTATCTGTTCTAATGAAGAACTTGCTGTTAGCACCAGATACACAAGCATCCTTCCCCTACCATGTCTCTAGGACAGCTTTACGGCACAGATCTTTCCAAAACCCAAAAGGCAACAACTCAGCTGGACCCTTCCACTCCCACATGAGTGCATTCCCAAGACCAGGTTCAGCCCTCAGTGACCGCCTGGCACGCAGCAATGAGAGCAGACTGGCTCTCCCTCACGCACCAGCGGGCATCTCTGGTTTTTCTTTCTTTAGCAACTCTAGTGCCCTCTTTCTAGCTTCCCCAAGCAGCCTAGCTTGAGCTAAATCCCAATCCCAGATCAGTGTCACTTAGAAGGCGGGAAATAAAAAAAGAGCTGGTGATGGAGCGGAGGCGGCGGCAGCCAATGCCGGCCAGGCCCAGGATCGGATGTTGCTGACGTCAGGGCCCGGAAGGCTGCCGTGCCGGCTCCAGCAGGTAGCTTCAGCTGAGCTGCTCCGCAGAGCCGCAGCACAGGTCCTTGGAGAGAAAAGCCTATTGATTAGGCTTTGCCAAGGTAATTTTTTTGATGCTTTCTTGACTGCATAGAATTGCTTTTTAAAAAGGCTACTCAAGATTTAACTGACTTGATTCCCTGAAATTCAAACCACCTCCAACACCAAGACAACCAAGAAGGCTGGCAAGTGTCTGAAGTTTAGCACAGTTGTATTTTTTTTTTTAATTAATGTCTCTTGTAGAAAATAGTAGGCTATATTAATCCCGAATTTAACTTCTGCAAAGTACACCGTGACTTCCATGAGATATGCAGTTTTCCCAGTCAGGTTTTGAATCAAAAGCTTCACAAGTGTACATGGTCTAAGAGCCATGTGTGAGGGTTTTCAATGGCAGTAGTTCAGGAGGAGTAAGAAAAGAATGCCTTGGGTCTCCAAGTGCTACATCCCATGGAGCATCCAGTCAAGCAGTCATTTCTTCTCTCGCTGCAGTATTTGCGTACAAGATAAACCTGCCAGTTAATTAAACTCTAATTTGCAGTTTTAAGGCAGATGCCACTTAGTCTAAGAATGGCTCCATAACTTATTTCTTCCAGTATTTTCTAAGAGCTGCAGGCCAGATACTTAAAAGCATAGCAGGTTTAAATGCAGTACTAACTCTATCTTACTGTTACAAATAATCACAACTACCAAGTACTCTGATAAAGTCAATTTTAAGTCACTCAGCACTTCCATGAGCTTGTTTACTAGCCTTCTTTCTGATGCTCTCAATCTACTCTCGCTCCACATTGTGACAAGCAGAAAACAGATCAGAGGATTTCCGAGACAGTTACCCAGCTTCAAAAAGGCTGACGTACAGTAGATACCCTACAAACTGTAACATAAAGCTCTAGAAAG